TTACCTTTTTAAAGTCTCCATCTCCAAATAGAATTATAGGTGGGGGGCGCCTGGGTGGCTCAGTTGGTTAAGCGACTGCCTTCAGCTCAGGTCATGATCCTGGAGTCCCGGGATCGAGTCCCGCATCGGGCTCCCTGCTCAGCCGGGGGTCTGCTTCTCCCTCTGATCCCCTTCCCTCTCGTGCTCTCTGTCTCTCATTCTCTCTCTCTCAAATAAATAAGTAAAATCTTTAAAAAATAAATAAATAAATAAATAAATAAAAAGAATTATAGGTGGGTTAGGGCTTCAACATATGACCTTGGGGGGAAAAATTAACGATGTCCATCCTCCAAAATAAATGTTTTGTGATCAAGAGTAGTAATGTTTTATTAGAATCCTATTTACTTCAGTCCCTTCTTAGAGCATTTGGAAGACTCAGTTGTAGAATGCATGAGATAATTCAGAATGTCATTTTTGATATCTTATTATAGAAACATGGAATATGGACTTGGGGGACACTGATTTACTTTCTATATGTATGATTATGATTCACTTACCATTTGAGCCTATGTTTTCTCATTTGTGAAATTAGAAATTTGTAGTTACAATTACTCTGCAGTGAATTCAGTTAGATAATAAAGACATTGAAAAATGTAAAACACTATACAAATGTTTGTTATTTTCACTGTTTTCCATTAGAATACACCACAAACTATAACCTGTAGTAATATTCAAAAAAAATATTCATTCTTTTCAAGGCAGATTGAAGGAAAAATAAATTAAACAAAATAAACCAAAATACAAGAATGAAATAAGCCATGGGCAGTATATTTCAGGGGATAGGAGAATTGAAATTTTCCTCTGGAAGTAAGTTAATTATGAGGGAAAATGTTAATATGGAGTTTTGTTTAGTTACTTTTATGAAAATAATAAACACAGTGAGCATAGTAACAATGACAGAATAGTAAGGAAAATTACACAATTTTGATAAAGTGTTATATGTAAATAGTCACTCAAATGTATTTTCTTTTATATTCTTTTAACCTTTCCCTGATACACAACCACAACCACATGAGGCATTTAATAACATAGTTTTATTAAACTAGCTGTATCATCAGGTAAGACTCAATAACCGAATGCAGTGAAAAAAGTGTCATATCATTTCGCCCTTCCTGGAAGATAGAGAAAGCCAACTCCTGTGGTGTATGATACGGGCTGGAACTTGGCCAAAGTGCATTGCTATGACTCTTCCATGAATCTACATCTTCTTTTCCAGTATCTAGCAATAAGGCAAGTTCTTTCTTGGGCACTGGTGACAACATGTATATCACTAGTGCTTATTCTGCCAAAGTCTGGCATTGAGTGGAACTCTTGGGAGTCTTACATAGCAGTATATGGAATAGAAGGGATGGGGGATAAATTTGACTTTTATTCTGCTAAAAGTCAAATGGAATGAAATGGCCCTGCTTGTAGACACCTCTCTGCAGCACAATTCCAAAGAAATAAGTTCTGATCCTTAACATTAGTATGTCTGTATTAAACTAAGTCCTTGCAATGTAATATGTAACAATTCAAACTTTAAAAAAAATATCTTTTATCAGCATTCATTGCTTCACAGTCAATTTAAATATGAATGTTCTGCAATAGGATTATTTTGGGGAAAAGGAGACTTTGTGTTCTCCCTGCTTCTCTCTGTTTTGAGTTATCTGGTAGTTTTCTTAACGATAGTGTAAAATGCATTTATAAAATAACTTTTTTAGCCTATCAACTATGAGAACTCCTAACTACCCCATTTGCTATTTCCCTCTATTTATCTTTTTCCTTTTTTTGTGATAGGACCCTCCCCTGCTCCCTTGACCTACCCCTAATGTTCATCTATCTTGACTGAGAGCTAATTTACTGTAGGTCAGACACAAGCTGAGGAAATAATCTTGAACAAAACACATTAGTATGTAACCTCATCTTGGTAAATGTGAAAATATTTTGGTGGAGATGGCATCCAAGCATTCCCCAAAGGCTAAACAGAAATTAGCCAGGTGGAAATGGGATCAGAAACACTGCAGCATGTGCAAAAGCCCTGGGGCAGAAAGAACAGGGTACAGTTGGGAAATTACTGGTAATTTTGTATGGTTTAATAGTAGAGCTGAAAGATGAAGAAGCATTATAGATGAGCTAGAGAAGTAAACTCATGAAGGGCTTTAGGCACAAAGAAAAGGAGTCCAGTGTTTGTTTAGAGGGCAGACAGAAGTGATTAAAGGGATTTTAATCTGGAGGGTAACATATTCCAATTTCTACCCTACAAGATGCCTCTGGCAAAAGGAAGAGAATTGTTTCAATAGGGTAATTTTAGAGAAAAATAATGAACATTGATTTATTATGTGGTGGTATTGTTAAATACAATTTGTTGTGATACTGTAGTCTTTAAAAATCTGAAATCTGGATCATTATAGAGCACAAAGATAAACATATTAAATCTATGCTAAAAGACCAATCTATTCAAAATTGGCAAGGCCAGAGTCACAGCAAACAAGCATCTTGTGACAGTGTGTCAATGCTCCTTGTGTATGATTTGTGTGATTGAGACAATAGGCCGGTCAATCTTCTCACTGCGTGTGGGATTATGCAGTTTTATCAGAGCAAAAATGTTTGCAAAACAAGTCTCTTCCCTCCCAGAGCATTATATGCTAATTAAAACATCTAAATGAAGAAAAGTGCATTCATTTAGAAAGCATTCTTCAGTATCTATATAATTCTGAATCAGCTACAAATGAGAGATGGCATTATTTAAATTGAAGGAGCTGGAGAAAATGCTTGGAGTTAGCTTTTAACTATTGCCATACTAGTCTATCAAGTGGTATAAAAGTGGAGAAGAATTTTTCTATCAGCCAGAAAACTTTGCACAAAAAAGGTGCTTGTATCCCAGCAATGACATGTTTTTAAGGCTAATGCTTAATAGTAATAAGAACAATAAGAAAAAAATCAGAGTATTTTAATTTTTCATTTTAATATTTAACTTTAATATTACAAAATTAATAAGAAAAGAGTATTTAATTTCAGTATGAACTTATTTCAATTATTTTAATATTAAATAATATTTAATTTCAAGTTATTAATAATTATTGCGTTTTTGCTTTTTGAGACATTTCAACAAATTCAAATGCAAATGATATATATTAGAATCATTTCTACTGTTTAAATTTTAAGAATTCAGTTTTACTTATGTTGCTAAATTTTATATCTGAGTTGTGTTAAACGTTAGTGTCAATTTTTTTGAATTCTGAATTTTGACTTTGCAAACAGTGATACTGAAATCCCAATGATGCCATTTTGTCCTGGTGTTGCTTTCACTGGCAAAAAAAGGTTAAAAGGCTGCCGTACTCGTCCACTGCTGATGGTGGGGGGAGTGCGGCTGGTGGTGATTGGGAAGAGAGAAAAAATAGAGAAATGAGACAGAATCAATGAGACTTTGGGAGATGTGGTGTCAACGGAAGAAGGGGAGAAAAAAGATACTCTTTCTTCCTTCATGAACTTTGTTTCAGTGAAGTTATGAACATTACATTCACATAGAGTGAGAATCCAAGAGGAAAGAGGAAAGCCTAGAAGAAAGGAAGAGGAAACAGAACAAGCAAGGAGACAGCTAGAAAAATAACATCACTTCAGAAAATGCTACAAGTTCAGTGATTAAATGTGCGGAAAATCCATACCCTTTCCTACTGCCGTCTCTATCTTGTTTTTGGAAGCTTTATACGTACCAACTACACTGTGATAGATGAGGCACCTCTTCTAGGGCAGCAGAGTCAAGTCGATGACATGTTAAAGAAAGCAGACAATGAATGACAAACACCTAGAGGCTCAGCCCAGGACTCCCTGAGTTCCATAAACCCGAGCTACTTGGAATCTGGCTAGAGACAGGGCCCCTGGGATTATTGCCAGTAAATGAGGTTAAGTTGGGAATGCAATGTCTGTATGTGGAGGACTGGCATACTCTTGCCTTCCTTTGATGGAAATATAAATATATTTTCCCCAGAAAGATGATTCTCTGCAGTGATAATTTCCATGGTATTCTTAGAACATTCCTTTGGATATGTTCTAGGCTTAATAACCTATTTATATCTGGTCAAGGAACCTTACCAGTTTTATTTGGAATTTGGAATACATTTCCCCATCTTAAGAAATCTAGTTAGAAAATAATTTATGAGGGTACCTGGGTGGCTCAGTCATTAAGCGTCTGCCTTCAGCTCAGGTCATGATTCCAGGGTCCTGGGATCGCATCCCTCGTCAGGCTCCCTGCTTGGCAGGAAGCCTGCTTCTCCCTCTCCCACTCCCCCTGCTTGTGTTCCTGCTCTCACTATCTCTCTCTCTCTCAAATAAATAAATAAAATCTTAAAAAAAAGATAATAATTTATGAGACAACTAAATCGGCAACAACTTCTACTTTACATTAGTAAATGTCAAGTTTGAGAGTTTTGTTAAGATGGGTCAGTTCTAAGAGCATCAGGGAGATCATCAAGCTACTTAATGTTAAAGAGACCATACTCAGAATTGTTCTTTGCTTTTTAGCTGGAGAGCACTTTAAATTTTAATGCCTTTTTTTTTCTGATCCCTCTCCCCTAATTACTTTATCTTTAGAAATTCGTGTGATACTTAATGTGAAAAGACTATTATAATAGCTCTCTCCCATTCTACTAAGTTTGAAGATTCTAAAGTGAGTGCTCTAAGTATCAATCCTATAATGGTTAAAAAGACCTGAAGCATTATGAAGCTTACTGAAGAGTTGGGCTGTGCTGTAATTTTGTTTTCTGTGATTTGAGTTGAGTAGAACCATGAACAAGCTGATGTTTGGCATGGGTCAGATGGCTGTCAGGGTACTGAGGTGGCATTCAGATACTTTGGTATTGGCTTAGTTTTTTTTCCATGTTGAAGGCTCTTTGAACTGCCAAATAAAAATGGTTTCTAAAGTATTAGGACACCTTGAGGTGATGAGCAAGCAACGTAGGTGTTTCTTTTGAATTTTATTTCAGAAATCTCTACCACAGGACCTCTTGGCATGGGAAGCACCACCACCAGCACCACCCTACGGACCACAGCATGGAGCCCAGGAAGGAGTACCACCCCATCAGTGTCAGGAAGACGAAACCGGAGCACCAGCACCCCGTCTCCAGCTGTGGAGGTGCTTGATGACATGACCACACATCTGCCATCGGCATCATCCCAAATCCCAGCTCTGGAGGAGAGCTGTGAAGCTGTGGAAGCCCGAGAAATCATGTGGTTTAAGACCCGTCAAGGACAGATGGCCAAGCAGCCGTGCCCTGTGGGAACAATAGGTAAGTATGTTCTGCAGAGCGAAGCTAAAGGTCTTTTGTTAGGTTAGCTTGCTTCTCTTGCAGTTTTTCCTTTAGTCTTTTGCTTGTTCGTTACTGCATATTTTTGTGACTTTGCTTGATTGAATTCTGAACTCAGCTGAATTGCAATTTAAAGCAGTGTATTGTTGGAGTTTGAAAATACATTGTGGAGAAGTCACCAGTGAGGATTTGGTGCGTATCCACGTGAGGCCAGCGGTTTTTTTGTCCTTGGTGTGAGGGCTGTGGGGGAAGTTACCGTTAGGCTGTGGATGTCCTGGCTGCTCTGGAAAGCCAGCCCGTCTCTGCGGCAGCCCCAAGCGAATCACTGGATTGCTGGGAGCTAGTTCTCATGCTTTTCACCAACTGTCAAATGTTGAGAACAGAAAAGGAGGTGGTGGACTTCTCCATTAGAAGATGATCATCAAAACGACCTAAAACTTCACAAAATATAAAGTTTGACCATCCTTTTGATAAGTCAGTGTAGCTGTCCTTTAATAGCCAGAGGTTCTTCACAGAATCAGGAGCCAGTCTCCCATCCCTCAACACCCCCTAGAGAGAGCAAGAGCCGTTGTTTTCTCTAGGAGATAGTTCAGAGCTAAATAGTTCTTCCCTCTCTCCCGCTCGTTTTTTACTGATGTGATCCATAATATCCCCAAGTAGTAACCATATTATTATTTACAATTTTTATGCCAGAAATAGCCTGGTTTTCTTATTATGACATACATTGCTCTTCATAAAACTAATATTTGATACAGTAAATAAAATTTGCCTTATTCCATAAAATATGTAAATAAAGTAAATGTACGATAGATGTATGATACAAGCAATCAGGACTATGTCTTTGGGTGTTATTGATTTGGCTACTTTAAACGGGTTTGTCTTAGAACGGTTCCAACGTGGATATATCATTCTGAATCCTATAGTTTGTGAAGTGGTAGAAAGACCAAAAAGAATATTGGCTTTTATGAAAGTGCACATTTAATTTCTTTTTTCAGCAAAGTGTTTAAAAATATTCTGAAATCTTTCTTCCCTTTATGAAAGGGTGCAATGTTTAGTTCTAAAGTTTTCTGTGGTACTGAAATCCGTTTGGTTCCAACAGTTTGAAACTTTGTCTCTTACCACTGTCCCCTTCGTTCTGGGCCTCAGTTCCTTTATTTCTGAAAGAGAAATAATAACATCCCCCCTCCGCCCCCGAACACTTCAGATGTTTGTTGTGAAGGTGAGTGAAATACTTTATTTGAAAGCAGTTTGAAAACTACACAGCACTATAGAAGTATGTCATTATTGTTCTGTGAAAATTGGGAGAGAGCTTTAAAGGAAACCAAACCTTCTGGAGCCCTCCCGGGTGAATGTCCCTATGCTACAATCTTATTTTTAACCTTTTCTCTGTCCCTTCTGCTGTGGTCCTGTTCAGACCCACACAGGCTGTCACTTGAATTATTGTAATAGCTTCCCCCAAACCTTCACATCTCCCCGCTCAGATTCACCCTCCATGCTGCTGCCACAGTTATCTTTCTAAAACCTTAATCAGCTCATTTCTCTCCTCTGCTTAATGTTCATTGATTTTCCAGCACCCACAGGTGGCAGACAAGGGAGTTTATGATCTGACTTTGCTTGCCTTTCCAAGTCCATTAAACACAACTCCCCTATAGAGTAGACCTCAATTTAAAACATTTGAAGTTTCCCAAGGACGACATATTTTTTTCTGCACCTGGAATGCCCTTTCCTACCTTGTTTTCCCGAAAAACTGATTCCTTTAAGACTCAGCTGCTGCCTTGATTCTGAAAACTCACACAATCAGCCCCATAGAGGCAGGTACCACATCACTCTAATTTATGAAATTGTTTCCTGGATCTGGTGTAGTTGCCAACAAGTGCTTTAAAAATATTGAATGATTTTGTTTGTCCTGTTGCATTTCTCCAATGTCGGTTGTTTGTCAGGCGCTGTGTGTAGTGTTTTAACAAACATTATCTTAGTTTAATGATCTCAGCTTTGCCTTTGTTCATATTTAAACATAACACAGGAAGTCTTTGTAAGCAAGATGGTTTGAATATTTAAAGCAGAGCCATTTTTTCTCATTATTTTAGGAGTATCAACTTATCTCTGTCTGGCTCCTGATGGAATCTGGGATCCCCAAGGACCGGATCTTAGCAATTGTTCTTCTCCTTGGGTCAACCATATAACACAAAAGGTAAATCGTGTGACTGACCAGGGAGGTTTTCCCAAACCTAGATCTTCTGTTGTTGATTATAACTCTTGCAAACAAAATAGTTAAGATTTTTTTTTAATTAATGTGGAAATACTCTCACATTTTAATTCTCTTTAAGATTTAGTGACAACCTTTGATAACGCTGTGTGCTAATCTAGAATTTTGTTATTTTTAAAGGGCAAATCTGTGAACTCCTCTAAGCCAGGCACTATTGCTTGTAATAATTTTATTATTAATAAAACTTTTATGATATTGTGAACTCCAGATATAGAAGTCCAAGAGGCATTATAAATCAAGCAAGCAAAAGCTTCTAGCATACATGCATATGGGTTTTCCTGTGGAAATAATAATTACCAAAAAAAGTCTACCTTTGGAATCTTAAGCTATTTGATAAATGTTCTGTAACCTAATCATTTATCAGTGTTAAAAGTATACATATGTGTGACAGAATCTTGCAGACTCAAATTTTCAGGGCTTGTTTAGTTGCAATATGTTGAACATTTTTATTATTAATGCACTGTGGGGCTTTGAGTTGATTTCATTACAAACAGAGACCAGATGTGCATTTATGCCAAAAGGGCTATGGGATGAATCCTTATTATAGCAATTTGTGTGGATTTATGTACTCCTAAAGTGAAGAGTCCTTCCATGGCACATTAGCTAGGCTGAGGAATTTCTGAAAGAGATTTTTTCCTGAGAAATATTACAAATGATGGCCTTACTAAAAGCCTGTCTGTGCCATTTGCTCTTTTCTCTATTTGTTTTTAACCAGGCTGATCCTCAATAATACTGTATAATAATCCATAAATATCTACCCAGTAGATCATTTAGCAGATGAGCCATAACTATCTATTTACCCTAAATCATGGAAGAACAGTGGTTATATTGACTCTAGTTACCCTCTTACATATGCATCTCCATACTTGTTGCTATTCATAATGATGCTTCTCCAATTTCAGCACTGTTCCTGCCACAGTTTTTATGTCCTTTGATTTTATTACAATGTAGCTCAGACCCCAGGGCAAATAACTCTTGCTGGATGTGATCAGATTAAGAGATCAGTAGCATATCTCCTTACATTAGCAACTTTTAAAAAATACTCCCTACATACTTAGCCCAGGGGGCAATATTAATTCAGTAATAATTCACCTAGAAAGCTGAGTGTTTTCATGATAATTCCTGAATATAGTTAGACTATTTCATTGCAGGAATTACTGGGTGACTTTAACTGATAATGATGCTTAATTCTTTTCTTTCCTCTGCAGACCTCCTAATCTTGACAAAAGAGATAATTCTTTGCAAAGACCAGACAGCTGTTGCCCATTTGATTTATGGATGGGTGTTTTTTTTTTTTTCAATATAACGAATACGTTCCATATTCCAGAGCTTTTCTGTTTAATACTGTAGAGTCTGTAAAATTATGTAATATTACAATTATATTAAGATTATAGCATTTAGGCAGTGGAATTTATAATAATGCCTTAGCTTTATTTCTTAGAAGTTTATAAAATCTTCAAAAGTGTAACAGGAGGCTTTGGAGCACCCTGAATCAGATTATTTAACTAGCCCAAGGTCAGTGTTGGAGCTGGGTTTTTAGCGGGGTCTGCCTTTATCAAGACGTCATGCGTAGCCACAACACTGATTAAACTGTGCCCAGATTTTGACTGCCTTTATATCACACTTACTTTCCTAGTCTCTCTTTACTTTTGTCCACCCTTTTACCTGGTGTGTCCCTCATACCTCCAAATTTTTATGCTATTCATGGAATATAAATGGTAGTTGAATAGGTTTCTTAACCACAAAACTCCAAAACTTTTAAATATTAACATTGTAAACCTCCAAGAGAGAATTTGTATGCAGTATTCACAGAGCGATTTGTCTAAATTATCTCCCTGCTCTCCAAAGCATCTTTCACAGAATTCATACCTTAGCTCATTTCCTCTGTCAGTACCGGAGTCCCAACAACAAACAGACGGAACATTCGAATAGGGTTTGTTGACAGTGTTATTGGCAGAGCACAGGTGAACTGCGAGGGATTGAGCAGGAATGCAGTGCTATAACAGAGGTGGAACTGTTCCCAACCCCAGGCCTGTGGTTGCTGTATCAAAGGAGTGACTAAAAAATGGAAGCAGATGTCTTTGAGAGGAAAGTTGACCTACGGACAGAAGAACAGACAGAGATTCAGTCTAGCCTCAGGCAGCTTTTCAGAAAGAGACCTAGGGGAATAAATACCCTGACCTCACTTTCCCTCCTCCTTACATTCACTTGCCCACCTTCCCCATTGGACAAAGTCAGTGGAAGCCAGAGAAAAAGGGCGCTCTGAATAACATCCTAAGTTCACCCTGTAGGGCAGAGAGCAGGATGGAGGAGGATGGAAAGTGGCCTTGAACCACGAATTGGAAAGTACCCAGCATAGTTCTCAGCTTTGCGCTTCTCTTCTCATCCCTCCTCCCTTTCCCACCCTCTTCTCCTTTCTCTTTGCACTGCCCCCCACCTCCCAGTCTTCCCCATCCCCTCTACTCTGCTCTTAAATTCCCCCTTTTTCTAGTGGATTTTTTTTGTCGTGTTGAAAAATTAAAGTAAAATAGCTATTTTTCATGATCCATTCCTTCTCTCTTCCCTCTTTTGTTGTCCTGTGAACTTCAAACTTTTAAAATAAAGGAACACTTTTTACCTCTTGTGAAAGCATAGATGAGAAAAGAAAGGAGGGAGTGACTCTCTGTAAACAGTGTATTCAGTTTCCCCTCCTTAAGAGTTCAATGAGTGAAAGCATCTTGGAATGTGAGGCACCTCCTTTATGACTTTATAGTATTTCTGGGGAATTGTTGAGGGCTTTCAAGGAAAGAACACCTCTGGATCAGTCTCTGTATCTATACCATGGAGAGGATCATTCTTTTCATTATTGATAATACTGTTCACCCACTGTGTGTTTGGCACCACTGTATACACAAGTATACACAAATAAATGGATCGGGATGCTTACTTTAGTTTGAAGAAGCAAACTATATTTTCTTGTTTGTTAAGAAGTGAGTGATGTCCCCCACCCGCATCCTTGCAGTCAGACCATGAGAGAGGAAGAAAACAGGCAAAGAATCTTGATGGCTTCTGATTCACAAATGAATTCAGGCTACTTACGTACAGGTGAAATTATAGATTAAATTTTGTGTGGTGATAAAGAGTAGATTATATTTTATTAGAGAAAATGTAAGCCTCTAAAGTCAGAATTTCATGAAGAAATTTATTACAAACTAGCCAGAATACTTTCATAATGATGAGATTTAATAAAAAGCATAATTTGTACAGAAAGAAAAAGGCAAAAGTTGTACACAAAGGAGTCTTTACCCCAGCAACAATAGAGAAGGGAGCAGGAAGAGAGAAAAATTGGTAGGTAGTTTCATAGATGGATGGGTGGATGGATGGGTGGATGGATGGATGGTTGGATGGATGGATGGATGGTTGGATAGAAGGAAAGGCAGGTTCAAAGATAAATGGATGGATAGAAAGACAGATTGGTCTTCTTCTTCTTGAAAAGCCAGCAAATTTAGTTCAGAGCTTGGGCTCTTCAATCCTATGTAGCAAAATATTCTTTTTTCTCACCTTAATTACTGCTTGCTAAAATACAGTCTCTGGTTTTTGCTTGATCTCTAGATTACACGCAGATTTTCAGAAAGGAGTTTATATTTTCTATGTTGCATACCTTTAAAGAGCTTACTGCACTTTACAATTCCTCCAGTCTTTTTCAATTTAAAATTCTTTGAAATTACAGTTTTGAATAGCTTCCATATTTCTTTGCATATGAAGTGAGTTATTCTTCCTATTTCATTACCTGGTTCAACTATTATATGGAAAAGAAATGCCTGAATTGTCACTGGAAAATAGTCTTTCTATTTCTAACAAACTGAAGAGTCTTGTCCTTTGTTTGTTCACAAGCTACTGACAGATTTTGAGATAAGTAGAGTTCTTCCTGCATTTTCTAAAGATGTGAAGATCCAGAATTGTAGTGAAATGGAAAGAATATGGTCAGTGAAAGCCTAGTCTGGAAAGGCAAACTTTGAGCTATGAATGTTAAGGTCACAATGGCTGTTGGAGAATCCAGTTAATGACACCACCTTGGAGTTCCTCCCTTTCCTTCCCCTCCCACAGCCAATGGTATAGTGGGCCTATTGTTGTACTTATAAATCTCTCCCAAATCAGGCCACTTTTCACCACTGCTACCCTAATCCAACACAGCTTCTGCTGCTGGAGCTCTTAGCAAGGTCCCTTTCATCCACTCCAGAACCCTCTAATCCATTCTGACTGATTTGATTTCAAATACAACTCTGATTAGACCACTCCTGTTTAGACACGTTAGTACCTTCCCTCGCTCTTAGCGCAGTTCCCCAAATCTTCATCATGACTTCTGAAGGGGACCACTTAATCTGCCCCTTGCTCACTTCTCCAGCGGCCTAAATCCCACTTAGAGCCCCCTTTGTTCAGTTCCCCTAGGACCCATGTCCCTCCCTCCTAAAGTGTCCTCTCTGCCTAGAGGCCCTCCTCTACCTCCCAACCCAATTCCCTTCCCATTCCATCTCACATTCAACATTATTCTCTAGAAAAACACTTCCTAAATTATTTCCTAACTACAGACACTAGGGTAAAATGCCCTTAAACTGTGTTCTGTATTGTACTCAACAAAATTAAAATTAAATAATTCTTTAGTTAATTTATTAAAAACCCTTTCCATTGCTAGTATGTAAGTTCCTTTTTTTTTTTTTTTAAGATTTTATTTATTTATTTGACAAAGAGAGACACAGTAATAGAGGGAACACAAGCAGGGGGAGTGGGAGAGGGAGAAGCAGGCTCCCCGCTGAGCAGGGAGCCCAATGTGGGGCTTGATTCCAGAACCCTGGGATCATGACCTGAGCTGAAGGCAGACGCTTAATGACTGAGCCACCCAGGCGCCCCTGTACGCTCCTTTTTATTGGGAACCATTTTATTCAGTATTGTAGCCTCAGACTTTAGCCCAGTGCTATTAGAAATTCATGTGTTAGGGGCGCCTGGGTGGCTCAGTTGGTTAAGCTTCTGCCTTCAGCTCAGGTCATGATCCCAGGGTCCTGGGATTGAGCTCCAAGTGGCATCGGGCTTCCTGTTCAGCGGGGAGCCTGCTTCTCCCTCTCCCTCCGCACTTCCCCCTGCTTGTGCTTTCTCTCTCTCTCAAATGAATAAATAAAATCTTTAAAAAAAAGAAATTCATGCGTTAATTAAAGAACAATTAACATATAGACTGAATAAATTGTTGAACTTATAGAGACAGTCATCCTATTTTTTAAAGTAAGATACAATATATATTTACCACATATGCATACACAATGTATACTATGTAGGTATCAATATTGAATTCTGAAGGTAGAAAAGTGTATTTTTTCTTTCCATTGTACCTACAGTACCCTGTCTTCCCAAATTACAGTTATTCTAGTTGTTAATTTCTCTTGCCTTCCCACCCTATTTCTAGCCTGTTCATTACCCCTCTACTATATTCCCATAATACCTCATATACATTTCTGTAATTAAAATTGCATTGTTGCATTATTATTACCTGTCTTTATGCCCTACCCCCACCGCCATCCTAACAGGTAGAATGTAAGGTTTGTGAGTATAAGAGCTATATAACAATCATTTTTATTTCCTCAGGAAATGACGAGTGTCCAAATGATTGTTGAATGAATGGGAGATTTTTACTATGATTTCTTAAGTTTTAAGAGGATCAGGATCAATTTTTATTTTACTTTAAAAACATACTTTCCACATTTTTATTATAAACATTTTTATAACTTAATTGTACTTCAGTGTTTTTTTTTTTTCTTTACCTTACAACTTTCTTTTCGGTGAATATTGAGTTTCAGAGTTCTTTGGTGGACATAATTAGATTTATTCTTCATAAATAAACACTTCTTGAATGCTAAAATACAGCTACTATTTTAAGATAATCCACCAGTGATTTTCGTATTTGATTCACTGTTTTACCACACTAGATTATCTGCTATTGACACTTAGATAGTGAACACCATCATCTTTTATGTTGGGAACAGTTATATTTTGACTGATTAGTCATCTACATTTTTAACTTTTTGATGACTGTACATAAACAAAAAGCTTAAATTTTTATGTAAGGAAACTACATAGGCCTTCTTTCCACCTTTTCATGTCCCACCCTAATACTATAATAACAAATTTAAAAACTATGATTATACATCTACACAGAAAAAAAGAGAAATGAAATAACAGTATGAAAATACCAGTTGTTATCAATTCTTATTTTTTCTCTGTTTGAGAAACAATTTTGCTTTTCATAATATTCCCTGATAGATTCATCAAAGTCAGTACTTGCCTCCTTAGTTTCAAAGAAAGGAAATAAGGAAAATATATTACCAAGTTCAGTAGATCTCAAACTTTTTTCAAATTTTTTTCAACAAGTAAATCAAAAGAGGTCTTCCTCTGCCCTGACATTTCTCATAGAAAAAATAATATGTGGGGCACCTGGGTGGTTCAGTTAGTTAAGCATCTGCTTTGGGCTCAGATCATGATCCCAGGGCCCTGCTATCAAGCCCCGCATCCATTGGGCTCCTGCTGAACAGGGAGCCTGCTTCTCCCTCTCCCTCTGCTGCTCCCTCTGCTTGTGCTTTCTTGCTTTCTCTCTATCAAATAAATAAATAAAATCTTAAAAAAAAGAAAAGAAAAAATAATATGTGGTAATAAAGGCATAGAAGAAAACAATATAACAACAACAAAGGTTATAGAACAATTATACAATACAATGATTAACAAAGTAAAACCATAAAGATCTACAAATATATTCATTTTTATAAGAATAGCATAGATGGAAACTACAACAAATGCCATCACATTAAAATCATGCATTGATTAAAAGAACATTCCCTTGGACAATTATAGGAATTCCAGCTACTGGATATTCATACACACAGGAAGAGTTTTTCAAAGTTACCAAGCACTTCTATCATGTGTTTAGACTTACTAAATGGAATACTGAATTTGAATACTTAGCGAATACTAGCATCTCACTAATTGAATTAATGAATACCAAATTTTATAAATCATTCATTGATTACTAGATTACCAGTAAGCAGCCTTTAATTGTATGTAAAATTAAAATGTATGAATTATTATCACATTTATGTCACTTGGTGACCACTTAAAAGTACTTTCATGGGCGCCTGGGTGGCTCAGTCGTTAAGCGTCTGCCTTCGGCTCAGGTCATGTTCCCAGAGTCCTGGGATCGAGCCCCACATCAGGCTCCCTGCTCAGCGGGAAGCCTGCTTCTCCCTCCCCCACTCCCCCTGCTTGTGTTCCTGCTCTAGCTGTCTCTGTCTCTGTCAAATAAATAAATAAAATCTTTAAAAAAAAAAAAAAGTACTTCCGTGACCCATCAGTGGGCCATGAATGCTACTTTGATCTACATTGAATGTGTTGTGTACTTTTTCTTGAACTCTATAATGTATTCCATTTGGCTTTATAGGTATTTTAGGTATGTAGTCCTTGACCATATTTTACAAATTTGTTAAAGTTAGTGCGGATATTTTCTAGTTTTAAGGATTTCTAAAAAGTACTGATTATATAGTAAATACTTTAACATATTCTTCTTGTAAAATTTAAACATTATAGAAAAGATTTTTCCTATGATTCCCATCTTTCAGATTTTGTTCTATGTGCTTAAATATATATAAAATAAATATAAAAATATCATGCTGTATGTATTGTATTTCTTTTTCATAGATAACATGTTTATATGCTACTGTTGTTTTGCATTTTTATTTCATGAATACCATGCTAATAGATATTAGCATATATAAATAATTTATTTAAAGATTTTATTTATTAGAGAGAGAGAGAGCATGAGCAGGGGATGGGGAGAGGGAGAAGCAGGCTCCCCGCTGAGCAAGGAGCCCAATGTGGGACTCCATCCCAGGACTCCGGGATCATGACCTGAGCCAAAAGCAGCCACTTAACCGACAGAGATAAATAATTTTTATACTTGCATTTATCTTAACTCAACAGAGCATGTTGAAAATTGATGTTAACGATATTGATCTCCTTTATACTTTTAAGCTGTTGTACAGTATCCTATGATATTTATATACATGAGTAGTTTTCTGCAGGTCATAATCCATTTTGTTTTCTGTTATAAACAAGCTAGAATGAACATTTTTGGACATTTCTTTTTTACATCTGTGGGATTATCTTATATCTTATGGCTGAAATTGATAAGAGAAATCACTCAGTTATATAGTTTTCAAAATTTAATGGACACTGGTAATTTGTTCTACTTGGGAGCTATACAAGTATATATGCCTAGTAGTAATTTCTGAGGGTGATAGACATTTCCACAAATCCCTGCCAACATTTTGTTACTACACATTTTTTGCATTTAATTTGGATTTTTCTATATATTTGAGGATGAGATTATTAATGATTTAGCTGTTCCAATAGCTCTAATTTATGTATTTGTTTCTTCAGCATTTGATCCTGCTACAAACATTTATTAAGCATCCCTTAGAAGATACTTATGATAACCTATGTGACTAAGAATCTTAGTCATGCTCCTTAGAGCTGTCTGAATACCTCCTAGGAAGATAGCCTTACAGAGAGGACTTTTCTCTGTGTGACCCTAAATTTAATTATTTTTTATTTTTTTAAGATTTTATTTATTTACTTGTCAGAGAAAGAGAGAGAGAGGAAAAGAGTGCACAAGCAGGAGGAGTGACAGTAAGAGGGAGAAGCAGGCTCCCCTTGGAGCAAGGAGCCCAATGCGGGATTGGATCCCAGGACCCCGGGACCATAACCTGAGCTGAAGGCAGAAGCTTAACCAACTGAGCCACCCAGGCATCCCTAACCCTAAATTTTATATTGGACTGCTGAAAAAAAAAAGGGAAGGAAAAAAAAAAGTTTAGTAAACATGACACTATTATGTATTTAAGTTGTTACAGCGTAAAATATCCCTATCTTCTTAATACCCAAAACTACCAGATTTATTCACATGAGCACGGGGTATTAGTCTCTTTTTTAACATCCTTGGAGTGTTGATAATTTGATATATTCTTATAGAATACACTTGAAAAGTCACCATATATATAGCTTCCAAAAAGGAAGATGCTAGAAACAGCAATAATTTGCTACCTAGTGCATTGGGATCAAAATCTCTTACTTGGTTAATAAGAAAATGAAGACCCTTTGAAAAGCAGGGATTGTATTTGAGATAAAATTTTCACAGATCTTAGCAGCCAGTCAGTAGCCTTTGTGTACTAAGTACTAAATTAGGCATAATGGAAAATTTGTGCTTGCCTCTGAGAACTTAGAATATGGTTGGGGAGTCATAACACAAACTTACCGACATCAGATTTAAAAACCCACAGAGAAAATCAAAAGGCAAACCTTAGATTTGACCACTCACATGGATAATTAAGGTGAGAACAGTTTTCAGAAGTAAGATTCCTCAGGGGGGTGCTTCCTAAAGATATAAATTTCAAGTTAGGTATTGCAGGAAAAAAAAAAGGATTAACAGGAAAACTCAGGGCATATATTCCAGGTGAAGAGGGAGTTTAAAAACTATTTCTTGGCTTGATAATTATAATTCATATGCAAAAAACAATTGTTCACTCAGAGACCAATAAAGTCACTTATTGAAGATCTCTTTCCTTTTTATTCTGTGTTCAAAATTGCAGTTGAAATCTGGAGAGACAGCTGCCAACATTGCTAGAGAGCTGGCTGAACAAACAAGAAATCATCTGAATGCTGGAGACATCACCTACTCAGTCCGCGCCATGGACCAGCTGGTAGGCCTCCTAGATGTACAACTCCGGAACTTGACCCCAGGTGGAAAAGATAGTGCTGCACGGAGTTTGAACAAGGTAAGGACTTTGCTTAGATATATATCTATATCTATATATATATATAATTTTTCAAAGATATATATATATATCTTAAAAGCTATAGTAAAATCAGTGAGACTGCTCTGGTTAATTTTTCTCTTTCTATAAAATCAGATCATTCTAAAGAGCATCACTAGTTATATTCAATCTGCTTCACTCTTTTATTATAATGGTGACCCTATTTGGCCTCTAATCTAAAGACACAATAAGTGATAATCTCTCCTTATACATTTTGAATTTACAATTCTATTTTCTTTGGTGTTTACTGTTTTGAATGCTAAATTCTGGCAAGGTCAACATGAGTAAATGTGATTTATTTTGTTTTTTTTTCTTTCATACTTTTATATCAAAATAATCATAATAAATAAATGTCTAATCAATAAGTAGAAGTTTAGAAAAGAGCCACAATGAGAAAGCATATTAGCAATTCATTAAAGATGTTTAAAAATGAAATAATTTAATCTAATTAATGTACTTAAAACTCATTGGATAAGTAATTAGGTTTTAATTTATATTTCCTTTTGATATTTAAATTTCTCAGATTTTACTTCACTATGTTAACACTTTTAGAAGGTTTAATTGTATTTCAGCAAATTTGAATTGTAAATATTGAAAATAATTCATTTTTTAAATTTCAGAGAAGATACATTTTTTATATTCTTATTTCTACTTGTAAGTATATAATATATACTTATATAAACATAAGCATTTTATATGTTTATTGTATATAACCTATCCACTATATAAGCAGTTTATTTACATAAATATGTAAAGTATATTTTACATCTTTTTAAGGAGTATAATTTATTCCTTATAAATTCACATGGCGAATTAACTCCCCAATGAAAAGATACTAGGATTGCTACGTGTGTTCCCTGAAAGGTATTTGTGTAGTAGAAGTGATCAGTTACTGAAACTGGATTTTAGGGCCTTGAATGTCGTGATAGTCCTCCTCCTTAAAAAAAAGCAAGAATTTGGCAGTAACAGACTAAAGTCGTCTAGGGAATTCACTAAATGAACATTCCCCTTTAGAATGAAAAATGACTTTTGAGAGTGGTCTTTTAATATGTTAAGTTTTTTTGTGTCTCATCAGACTAAGAGTCTCACTGATCAAGATGGAAGAAATTTTTCAAATAATGATGGTTTGATACAGGAAGGCCTGACATTCTATCTGGCAAATATGGTTTTTCCTGCAATTTCATCCTCAGAAAACAGATTGTTTTATCTAGTAGATATAAATTATTATTAAAGTTTTTTTTCATGCTGAGCATAAAAGAGTTATTTTTGTCACTTATGCCCCTGATAGAATCACAACCAAGTCCCTGATAAAATGTAATCCACAGCTGCCTATGTAATCTGGACATGCTGTGATTTTAATGTGTTATTACCCAGGCTGACTGTATGCTATTAACGAATATTGCCGCCAGCTATTGTTATCCTAATGTACTGGAAGTAGTAATTTCTATTAATGTTACATATCCATAACATTACTTGTTATAGCAATACTTTGTATCTTTATTTAAAAATGGTGTTGATGTCTGACAATATCAGGTAAAGCTGGTAATTAATGTCACATTCTAACTGGCTACAGCTAATCAGCTTGCCTACTCTGAATATCAAATAACTACATAATGGGCAAATTTCCATTTGTGAAGCTTTTTAATGCTTTCTTTTGTTTCCCATTTGGCTCTTTTCAATTGTTTATATAATGTGGTCTGTCATATGTTAATTTGCATGATGGGGTAAGGAGATGGGAGGGCAAAGGTTATTCACATGCTTGCTGGCTTGCTCTCATTTCCTGTGGTTCCCACTGTTCCCTGAAGCCGTTATAACCCATCAGATTTGCAAAATCAACTTGGTACAAATCAATTGAACTCCACATTGAAATTGAAGCGTTTAGAGTCCTGCAAAACCAAGATGCGAGTCAGTGATCCAAATGACAGCATTGGCAATTTACTTGCACTCATTCCTCACTTAATTCTTTAGAGGAGTAACTGCTCGATGCTCATTGAAGACTGTATGAATTAAAGTTGAGAGAGTATTAGCTGCACAAAAAGCATCAGAGTAACTGCTTCTTAAACCTGGGTAATTTTCTCCTTCAACAATCAAGGCTACTGAAGGAAAAAAATAGGGAAGAGGAAGAAAGTCACAGTCTAATTCCTGAAATTTTGTGTCATTTATTCAAACAGGGCAGTTAAACTTACTACTTATTTATTTTATCACCAGGAAAAAAAAAATGGGATTGAATATGAGTTGTTATTAACCTTTTACCCAGAAAAACATCACTCTGTTTGCAAACAAATAAACGAAAACAGGCTTCTTATCCCACAGAAGTTTCTAAAATGTTTAAGTTTTGTTTTGTTTTGTTTTGTTTTTGTTTTTGGTCAAAACCGTGAAAAGGAATTATTCAAGATATAAAAGCAGTGATAAATCAGAAGATTAATCACATTCTTCTAATCAGAAGTTACCTATCTGTTGGTATTTTTCCCTTGGAACCAAAGAATCATAATGAATGGGCACTTCTATTTTTCCGATAAACAAAATTTCTTGTGTTTGAACATATGGTTTGTGGTGCATATTAACCATCTATATAATCTTTAAACCACAAGCAATGTGGGTTCCAAATTTTTGACATAATTTACTTAACTTCGTATGTCTTCATTTGTGGCTCATGAATTAACAACTAACCTAATGTGAAATGAATCATTTCAAACGACTGAAGTATGATTTTTACTAATTTCTACTAAATTTATTCCAAGATTTCCTCCCATCATTAACAACTTTATACCATCCAGTTTTCACTTGGGTATTCTGAAAAGGTGCTGGCGACTAGTGTTCAAGCCATTCATTGCTTACATTTTGCTGCTGCTTAGCTTTCATTCTCTTCTAGAAAGTAGTGCACAACAAAATAAGGTGTTTTGTGTAGATGTGTTCTTTTATTTTTCCTGTTTTCTTCTGTCACTAACTTGTTTTTTCTATTCTGTGTTTAATCTGCTGTCTTAATGGATTCAGCTTCAGAAAAGAGAGCGCTCTTGCAGAGCCTATGTCCAGGTACTTTCTGCGTTTTTATAAATGTGTTAAGTTGTTGAATTGTCTCTGTTGGTGGTAGCATTTATGGGCATCTGATAGAAAAATGATAACGTACCCTGTTGAGCTAAAGGGATTTCAGGGAGGGCATGCAGGGTGGGAATAGAGAGACATGTTGCAAAGGTATGTGCCTAAAAGAAATTTGGCAGTGCTCATGCTCTGTCATACAAGATGAACACAGACCAACAAGGAGGGGTAACTTGGTATGTGACAATTTTGATCACAACTAAAAGGTGAGTTGGGTGTAATATATAAATCTCTCATTTCTTCATAGAGGTGTGTATGAAAACATTTCATTAATACATTAGGCCAATTAATATTGAGTAGCAAATCACTCAGAAATGACATATAATCAAAATTCTGTAAGGCAAAGAATAGTCCAGAACATTTGGAATATCATGCTTCTGTACCAAAATGTTCAACCCATGCTGTGACTGTCTTATTTTCCCACTCACTGTAAACATTTTAGTCCTGATACAAATGTAATTTTTCTCCAGTTGACATGTTATAATTTGTTTCTAAGCAGGGTAGAAACCATTGCTATGTTTATGGGTTCTGTGTGAAAAGATCCCAGAAACAACCTTTATAGTTATTTTTACAAGGGAAGAAGGCAAGAAGGCAGTGTAGAGGTGGGCAAAAATTTCCTTTTTTCCCACTAGGTTCTTTGGCTTGTCTAATGATTAAATTGACGTAAAACAGATTAACAGGAGAAAAACAAATTTAATTCCATATGTACAGGAGCCCACAAAAGATATGAGACTCAAGGGCAGTCAGGCAGTTGAGGCTTAGATGCCATCTTGAGCTAAGGGATGGGAAAGGGGCCAGGGGCTTCAAAAAAGAAGAGGGAAAATAATTTACATCAAACAGATATTAGATAATGTGCATTTTACTTTATAAATTAATGAATCTTTGGGTATAAGAAACATTCCTTTGTTTTTGTTTTGTTTTGTTTTTTCTTCTAAGGCTTTGGTAATTTTATATATATATATATATATACACATATATATATGTATACATGTGTATACATGTGTATATATATGTATATATATATGTATATATGAAAACCTATTCTCTTAGTATGTACAATAGGTAGAGAAGTTGAAGTATTCTTTAGCAATGAAAGCTGAAGATCATTTTTGAGCCATATTAGGATTGTTTTTGATTGTAATCTATGCTATCCCCTTAATGGGGCCTTGGAGATGATTAGACTTCCGGTATTTAAATCTATGAAATGCATGGCCATTCAAACATGAATCTCTGATGGAAAATTAAGAGCACAGTTTACTCAATGGTTGATTTCCTGGTGTTATAATTGACTGGCTGTGAATAAATGTTTCAGCTATTGACTAAACATCTGATAAGACCAAATACAAACAGAATATTTGTGAAGCAGAAATGCTCTGCTCACTAAGACATGGCATTACTTCTGTTCGTTGTCACGTAGATTATTACTCCATGAAATTCTAGGGTAAATAATACTTTAAGCTTTAGTCTATTTGAATTTTAAAGACTTGGCTAATGTCCCTGGTGTTTCTGCTTGGAGCATATTCTGAGCTATCTATGAAATAGGTATAAAATACACTAGAAGTGCTTTATGTTTAAATTTGAAAAAATATAATTATTTAGGTATCATGAGATTCTTAAAAAATGTGGCCATTCCACGTTTTAAGTAATGATTCTTCTAGGTTTGACTTTGACCATTAAATCCATTTAGCTTTTAATTATTTAGAGGTATACTGTCTATTCTATGAATTGCCTAGATCCATCTTTCCTACATTTATTTTTTACTTCCTACATTTGTTTACTTCACCAGAAAAGCACAGTAAAATCTGGACCATCATCTGTCAACCATGATAACTGTTAACTGATCTGTAGGTGAACAAGTAAAAGGTGGTTGCTTTGATTTTTTAAATAATATGTGAATCCCCAATACTCGTTACGCTTGCACCTCCAGAATTTTAACAAAACCAAACAATTGGGTCCAATATTTTTTTCATTTAGTTTTAATTTAGATTACACTAAATTCTTTGTTTAGTGTCAAAAGATAGAAACTAATATGAGTCATAGTAAAAAAAAAGAAGAAGAAGAAATCATTACCATGTCTTGGGCAAAAGAGATACCTTCATTTAAGAAGAGAGTGTTAAGTTTTATGCCAGAGAAGACAAGTAAGGCTTGTGTTACATATGTATATTAGATAACTACTGTGATGTCATGTATAAATAGAAGGTACCTGAAAGATGAACATGAGTTAGCTGGAGAGATGAGATGACTGGCCCAAGGTCACACATTAGCACCCATGGCACTATGGGTGTTCTAACACATGCTGTTCTAACGTGCCTCCAATGCTTTCTCAACATCAACAATGATTTATTATTGAGAATAAATGCAGTTATTAAGCAGTAATTATGTGGCCATCACTGTGGGGGGTAGTTTGCATAAATTCTTATTTAATATCCACAACAATCATTATTGCTATTTTTAACTTAGAGTAGAGAAAATGGAGCCCAGGGGGAATTAAATGACTTTCACAAGATCATACAATAGTAATTGAGGGGTTCTTGAATTCAAAGCTAGGATTCCTGACTCAGAATCTCATGTTCCAAATCCCCAGGATACCTCTGTTACAGAACTGACTTAATTATTTGGTGTTAGGAGTCAGGATATATCTTCTGGTTTATGTTTATTGATTTATTTTACTGTATTTCAGGGATAGTATAGAGTAAAATAGTTTTTTCTTTCCTTTTTGTTTGAGATTGAGTTGAAATGGCTGTATGATAATCATTTTTGTACTGTTGATTAAGTGCAAATACACACATAATTTGCTTTGAGGTCCTTTTGTTTTCAGAGGACTCTGTGATCAAAAAATTACCATATTAAGAGAGGAGAAAAACAAATAGGAAATACAGTAACTCTGTTAAAGGAGGATCTGTCAGGGATGCCTGGGTGGCTCAGTCGGTTAAGCGTCTGCCTTCGGCTCAGGTCATGATCCCAGGGTCCTGGGATCGAGTCCCGCATCGGGCTCCCTGCTCTGCGGGGAGCCTGCTTCTCCCTCTGCCTCTCTCTCTCTCTATCTCTCATGAGTAAATAAATAAAATCTTTAAAAAAAAAAAAAAAAGGAGGATCTGTCAAACTGTTTTGCAGAGTGACTGCACCATTTTGCATTTCCAGCCAACAATGCATGTTCCTTCACATCCTCAGCAACGCTTGTTATTTTTTGTCTTCTTGATTATAGGCATTTTAGTACAGATGAATTGCCACAGTCCTTAACTCCAGTCATGGAGTGGGGGCAGGGGGTCTGGGAGTGTAGTCCTTGAACCAGTAAAAATGCACATGGCTCCAAAGAGAGATGCATGAGACTCTGGGAGGAGAATATGACCTCAAACCACTTAAGAACAACTACTTTCATGTTCTTTAAATGTAACCAGCACTGAGATTTATATTTTTTTCTCATTTTTTTTTAAAGATTTTATTTATTTATTTGAGAGAGAGAATGAGAGACAGAGAGCACGAGAGGGAGGAGGGTCAGAGGAAGAAGCAGACTCCCTGCCGAGCAGGGAGCCCGACGCAGGACTCGATCCCGGGACTCCAGGATCATGACCTGAGCCGAAGGCAGTCGCTTAACCAACTGAGCCACCCAGGCGCTCTTTTTCTCATTTTTTAAGTAGTAATATTGGTGGGCATTGTTCTCTTCTTTAGCAGGAAATATTAAGAATTACTGGCATTCATTCTTCATGGCTTTAGAAGCAGGACGTTTCCCTAGTAAAGAAATAAGTATTTTTTTTTTTTTTTTATCAGCAATTCCTTTTGTTCTCCAGATCTCAGAGGCAGCACATACTCCCTGGAGAGTCTGCAGTCGACCTTGCTTAATGGAAGATATAAGAACATACAGTTATCCATATGAATCTTTTGAGTCATTCTTTGGAATCTGCTATTAACTGCACCATCAGGTTGAGAACTGATCAGAAAAAATTGGTAGATAGATGCAAATGAATGAATACACACACGCACACACACACACGCACACGCACGCACACACACACCCCTGGTCTCCTTCCTTCCTTCCTCTCCTCCTCCTTCTCCTCTTCCTCCTCTGCCTTCTTCTTCTTCTTCAAAGGTAGATGGTCTGTGTTCTTTAAAGCTTACAAAGTATTTGGGGATGCCCGGGTGACTCAGTCGGTTAAGCATCTTCTTTCAGCTCCAGTCATGATGTCAGCGTCCTGGGATTGAAACTTGTGTTGGGCTCCCTGCTCAGCAGGGAGTCTGCTTCTCCCTCTGCTACCCCCCTCCAAATAAATAAAAAAAAGCTTTGAAAAAATTTTTTTAAAAAAGCTTACAAAGTATTTGAAACAAGCCATCTGTTTATTTCAATTTGGAACTATGATTTGTTCATTACTTATTTATTAATTTAGTGTTTGTTTTACCTTAATTATCCCCTAGAGATCTCTATCCTAGGCACCAGCATGGAAAAACAGTATCTGTCTTCAACTATGAAAAAACACCAATAGTAGTTAACAACAAAAACAGTCAGGAATTAATAGTTGAGCACAGGGGCCCAATAACCTTATCAGCACTGGGAATGCAACAATGCACATAACAGGCAAAATCCTGCTCTCCCTCTTAGGGTAAACTTTCTAGGGGCAGAATATAAATAATACAGTAAGTATGTGAAAAATATGGCATATGAGATGATAAATACTAAGAAAAAGAAAGCAAGAAATGCATCACTGAGGTGATATTTGAGCAAAACCCTGAAGGAGGTGAAGGAGTGAACTGTGCAGCTATGCAGAAAAAAGCCCTCTAGCAGAGAGATAGACAGTTCCTGAGGCCAGTGTGAAAGAGAAGAGGGTCGTGGGACATGAATGTGCAGGATGGCAAGGGCCCAGATCTGACAGAGCATTGTAAGGACGCTGGCTTTTATTCCCAGAGACACAGTAAACCACTGTGGGTTTCTGAGCAGAGTGATG